TCTATCCTCAACTAGAACAAGAAGAAATACTAAATACTGTATATTTTTAGCAAGATGGTGCTTTACCACATTACTCTCTTGTAGCGAGAAGTTCTTTGAACCTAACCTTTCTATCTAAATTAAGGCGTGGTACAAAGCCCACTCGTACTGAAGCTCTAGGCTTATTGTATTCCTAACAGTTTCTACCCCATCAGATTGATTTTTCCGATGAATTCAAGAATATGTCTGATGGGCGCTTTCGCGATTTCTTCAGGTTCCGGATACTGTACCCCAAAGTACCATTCCCGTTCCCATTTAAGGTTCCGACAGTAGCATAGTATGTGAATAGGAGTTTCGTCCTCCTCTTCACTTATTCTACATAGGGAGTCATGAGATTTAGGTGTCTTCTAAGGCCGCAGTGTCCCGTAAAGAGTTCTATTACGGCCTTCTGTCTGCTCGTGGATGGCCTCTCTATGAATCTTTTGGATCATCTAAGTCCAGGAAGTTCCAACCAGAGCCTATGGTGTTCGCTATTTATTTATTTCTTTAACATCCATTTAACATGTTGATATGAGATACCACATGTGGATTTTGGTCCAATAAGAATTTTTTGCTCTCTTCCTTGCTAGGATGTCTGCTTTCTCGTTTTCAAACACTCCCTCATTGGAGACAACTGGATAAGTCGAACTGCTTCGATCAAAGAGGCTTCCTACCCAAGCAAAACATTTTGGTATAATTTAAGTCTTTTTTTAGGTATTACCATCCGTTTGAATATGGTTAATGTACTACCCAGTATATTCTTGAAAATGTCGTTTATTATTAGTCACATAAAAACTTAGATTACTACTAATTTATTCACCTAACCGTGTTAAGTATACGTCTATATTAGATTTATAGTTATAGTATATTTATACAAACACACTCTGGTATAAAAGAAGTTATACGTATGAATAGCGTTGATATTCTACCCAATATAAAAATGAATATGAATATGAAAATGTACACGTATATTCATAGGCATGACTCGTGTTTCTTGTTTGGCCGGAAATGGCCTACTTAAATCCTTTTTTTCGGCACTTTTCAGAAGAAAAATACATGTGGCAAAAATCTCAACAAAAACTTGAAGTCTAGTGGAAACTGCATGACGATATCTTTTTCGTTCTTGGGTAATAAGTTCTTAAAATGTGTGAATTTATAGATATATTATCGAAAAGACCGAACACAGAAATTATTTGGCTTATTGGCAGGTATCTCTATTACCAAAATATATGTTTTATCGTTTGAAGTTTTCTTTTTCTCTAGTTTGTTAAGCTCGCTAATTTCCTCGACTATAAAACGGACTTCGAAGAAATGAAGAATACCGTACTGAAAGGTTAAAACCCTTTGTCCGATTTGCATGTCTTTCGGGTTAGAATGTTTTAACGAAAATTAAATTAATGGCCGTTCTGGGGTAGCGAAACTTTTTCTTTGCTTAACCCCGACCTGTATGCTTTTCAGATTCAAAGGAAAAACCCGTTCTTGCATAACTACCGGTAGGTAATTTAATAAACGAAAAAGTTTTCCTTATTTTTGTAATTTATTAGGGGTTAAAGAATAATAAAACTTAATTTACATGGTTCGTTTTTAGATTAGCAGTGAATTAATTTCTGTTGATACGGTGTATCCAGATTTTAATCCTGTTACACTGGTCAAAAATGTGTCCCTTTATTTTGGCGTATTGATCTGAATACAGGGTATCCCATTAGTGCGTAATTGCGCGATATTTCAACGCAAACAAGTTTCAGATAAAGATACATGCATTTGAAAAAGGCTTACTTTAAACATATTTTTAAATATACAGAGTGTTACGCTTTTTGTCTGGCTAATAAAAAATATTTTTTAAATTGTGATCTACAAATATCAAGTCCATTTTTTGTGAGAAGTGGAGTGAGAAATAATTATGAATTCTATTTTTTTATATAGTTTAAAGTTTTCAAAAAGTTGAGAACAAAATTATTTTCTTAGCCCTTAATTCTACGCCAAAACAAGAAAAATATAAGTACGATACAAATAAATATTAAGTTGTCGATAAGCGAAAAAACTCTTGTTTCGACTGGTAAATAAAGTTAAAAACTTGAATTAAAAATTAAGAATAAATGTATAATAATGTCTACTATTATATTTTATGAAATGTTTTATACAGTGAGCACCATAAGTCTTACCCCCTATCTAACTCGTTACTGGAGTCTTGTTAGGAAAATCGCCGAGACACGTCGATTTTTGATTTCTACAATGTATATTTTTAATTGAATAATTTACCCTTAATTTCATCCCTTACTGAAGGGGAGCAACCCTTTTGAAAAATTTAAATGGCATGGGGTGTTGAGTGATAGCTCATTTACAAGAGGGTTTTATTCTCTATTTAACCGTGTAAAAAAAATTAAAATTTGCTTCATTAATTCTCGACTAATTGTTGTTTCAGAATAACGGAAATTAACGTAGCGCACTCATCCTTAGAATTAATATTAACCCCCGCATGATTTCGGTTTTGGTTCAGACGTGAAGTAAGACTTTTTGCCATTAGGTCACTGTTAGTCTAGTTGCTTTCCTATTTTGTGAGGTTTTGTTATTTTTAAACATTGATAAATCAACACGTAATGAAGCAAATTTCAAAATTTTTTGCACGGTTGAATAGAGAATGAAACCCCCTTTCAAACGAGCTATCACTCACTACCCCATGCCATTTAAATTTTTCGAAAGGCTTGCTACCCTCCAGTAAGGGATGAAATTAAGGGTAAACTAATCATACAAAAATGTACATTGTAAAAATCAAAAATCGACCTGTCTCGGCGATTTTCCAAACAAGACCCCAGTAACGAGTTAGTTAAGGGGGTAAGACTTATGATGCTCACTGTATATTGTTCCTTATTCAATTTTCCTTTCTAATAAGATTTTAAGCTGCAAACTGTAGCTAACTGTGTCAAAGCTTTTCGAAAGATCAAAAAACACAGTTTACTATTTTCAAGAGAAAATTGGATTTTACTAATAATTTTGACAATTGCGTCCTTCGTAGACTTATGCTTTCTAAATTTATACTGATTTGGTGAAAGTAATTTGTATTTTTGAATCAAGGAGTTGACCCGCTTTTCTATTATCTTTCCAATACCTTCGAAGCTTCGGAGAATAACTCTTTTGTCTTTTTGGGTTATGGCCCTTCTTTGAAACGTCCTTCTGTGGCTTGGGTATTGGATCGCTTCTTCATTCTGTCGCTGGCGATTTGAAGATGCGAGCGAACCAATTCATGCATATCGTCCATGCTTCTTCGTAACTGGATCAAATAATCTTCACCAGCTACATCTTCAGGTCGGCATCCAAACTCAAGGTCGTACGAAAGTCTTATCTCACACCCAAACAAGACCTTTGCTGGTGTTTGGCCTGTTGATTCATTAACAGCGGATCTATAAGCCATTGCAAACAGTGACAGATACTGATCCCAATCTTGCTGATGGTTTGAAACCACTTTTGACAGATATTTGCCAATGGTCTTATTCATTCGCTCAGCCATTCCATCGGATTATGGGTGCAATGCTGTGGTTCTGGTTTTCTTCATACCAAGTCTGTCACAGATTCTACGGAAGAGTTGGCTTTTAAAATTTCTGACTTGGTCACTGTCGATCTCCAAGGGCACTCCAAATCGATAGATAAACTCTTTTATCAACAGATCTGCAACAGTTGTGGCCTCTTGATTTGGTATGGCGTAGAATTCCACCCACTTTGTAAAATAATTCATAACCACCAAAATGTATTTATTACCATCCTCGGTCACGGGGAATGGTCCAGCAATATCTAAGGCAATCTTCTCAAATGGGCTACCAACGTTGTATTGCTTCATGGAAGCCTTCCTTTTTCGTTGAGATCCATTACTTATAGCACAGGTGGTACATTTCTTACACCAGTCCTTTACATCATCGGAACTGTTCATCCAGTAAAACCTATCCCGAATTCTCTAAAGGGTTTTCCATACACCTAAATGTCCTCCTGGCGGACTGTCGTGTAACTGACGAAGTACTTCGGATACTCTACTCCTTGGAATGACCCCCTCCTGTTTTCTGTTCTCGGAACCATCATCATTTTTAAGTACTCGCTTAAATAAATCTTCTTCCAGGATAAAAGAGTACTAATTAATTTATATAATACTTAGACACTAACTCACAATTCTAATTTATTTATTACAATTTAAACTTCTCAGTCCAATACTTTATACTAAACTACTAACTTCCGTCTTCAAATTCGCGATATTTATATCAAGTCAACTCTGTAACCAGAAAACTCTAGTCGGTGTGGAATGTACTAGACTTTAATGATTCAACGTCACCGCTTGTTCTAGTACCTTCGAGAAGCATCTGAATATCTTTATATTGCCAGCGCGCCGCTAGATTCCATACCGCGGGAGTAAACAAAGGACAGGGTAGGCTTTCGCGCGACAATACGATAAAATAGTTTTTAAAAAATTTTTCGTCTACATTACAAATTAATTGTGACATTGTTGCAATTTTGTTTAAAAGAACAAATATTTTATAGTATGTACCACTGTATATTAAAGCACCTTTCAACAATCAGTTTTTACTTTAAATATACCATAAATAAAGCCATCCAAAGCTTTCGCGCGGATACCAAGTGTATATTATCGAATATTAGTTTTAACAACAATAATGTTTATTTACAAAAAAGTACGATCAATATTTATATGTATAAAAATCCTTTCACCTTAGAATATAAATAAAAACAATTTAAGTGTAGTTAATCATTTATTTAAAAAATAATTCCACTAGGTGACTCTCAAAAAACGTTAATCAATGAATAAGAAAGAGAACTTTCGTATCTAGCGTCTAAGTAATAAATAAAAATATTCTCCGCAAAGAAATTAATATCAACACAATAGGTAGTTGTTACAATAAATTCAATCCGCGGGTTATTGTTTATAATGTTGATAGTGACTCTGCTGATGATCCAGACTTTGTGAGTAATTTAATTGGTTCAAATCATTTAAATGACTTAAATAATCTGGCAGATGGAATTAAGTTTATTACTAAAATGAAGTTTAAAATAAATTTAATGTAATATTAGAATTAGTTCCAGAGATATTCAATGAAACCATTAAAAAAGGTTTTCTTTATGTTGGTTGGGCTAGGTGTAATATTAAGGAACATTTCAATGTAGATTAAATTAGATTAGATTAGATTAGATTAGGAGTTGGACATTATTTGTCCTTGTCCACCGCAACCTTTTCAGATCTATTGTGGGACTCCGTTGTTTTTTAGAGTATGTCGTCTAGCCTGGTCTTTTTTATTTAACTAAGTAGCTTTGACAGTGGCTCCCGCATGTAGTTGCATGCATTTGGCTTTTCTAGAAATGCATGTCCATTAACCACTCATGATTATAACTCATTTAAATTTAAACCTGATATTCGTTTTTTTTTTTTCATCTTGCTGCTGTTGATGAAATAAGACAAGTTGTTATAAATCACAAATCAAATTCAGTTGGTAGTGACGCTAAAATGTTACAACTTCGTCTAAATGTAATCACACCTTTTCTGACACATCATAAATTGTTGTTTAGAACGTGGTTATTTCCCTAATATTTGGAAATTTGCTTTAGTGAAACCCTTACCTAAAATTCGAAATCCTGAAAGTTTTAGCGATCTACGTCCTATAAGTATTGTTATGTGAGCCATTTCATTATTTAGTCATGCTCTAACCCTGCAAGTCCCTCTCTGTCTTATTTAGCATTTGAGGCTTAACTTGTCCGATTATTATACATAATTAAATCCCTTAAGACCAAACCGATGTGACGACTATGGCGGAGGTATTTTTGCGAACATTCCAGAGTCAATGGGATACTATTTCTAGTCTATTCCAAATATAACGTGATAGTGTTTCTAATTTTTGGCGACAACGGTCCGGATACTTCACCATAATTTTAAATTGGTATATAAATATTGGTGGAAAAGAACGCGGTATCAGTTATTATATAGACAGTGAAGATAAATAGTGATCAGTTTAAAGACATTAGAAATATAAATAAATTAGAACAGTAGTGTTATAAAATAAATAAGTGTTTAAATAAATTATTGATAAATAAACTGTTGTTTTAAAATAAACAAATATCACATTGATGTCAGAAGTGGGATAGTGTAAATAAATAGTGAATAATAATGGCTAAAAGACTGTGTGATTTAAAAGTGACCGAGTTAGAAGATCGCGAGTTGGAGACGACAGGGAAGAAAGCAGAACTGGCAGAACGACTTAAAGAAGCACTAGAAAACGGAGGTTTTGATTCGGAACCGTATCTATTTTCTGATGATTCATCTTCTGCTATAATTTCTTCAATTTCTTCCGATATGGAAAGTAAAATCTCTTCCTTAAAAACCGAAATGTCTTCTGATATGACCTCTATGAAAACCGATATTTCTTCTAACATTTCCTCCTTAGAAACTAAAGTTTCTTCTGACATTAGTTCATTAGAAAATAAAGTTTCGCCGGACATTTCTTCTTTAGATAGTAAAGTTACTTCCTTAGAAGAAAAGGTGTCTTCCGAAATGTCTTCTATGAAAAACGAAATTTCTTCTATGGAATTCTATGGAATTTCTTCCGTTGAGAATAAAATAATGACTTCGGTTGAGGAGAAAATAAAAGAAATGGAAAAGAAGATAGAAGAAATGGAACACGTAGACCAAACCAAGAACGGTGAAATAAAGTGCCATGAGGTGAAGTCGAAATTGAAATTGGAAGGAACTGTAAACTCTCCTCGTGTTAAAGCCCCAACTTTTGACTGGAAGATGTCTTGGACGAACTAACTTAAGCAGTTCGAAACAGCTGCCAAAGCAAACGAGTGGTCTGAACGAGAGAGGCAATAAATTTGACCATCGCTCTTCGAGGAGACGCTTTGGATGTTCTTCACACTATACCCGTGGAAGAGACAGATGATTTTGAACAACTTAAAAAGAGAATAAACATGCGATATGGCCACGAACACTTGGAACAGGCATACATATTACAGTTGAAGAATCGCAAACAGAAACGTGACGAGAGCCTTCAAGAATTTGAATTAGATATTGCAAAGATGGTGCGATTTGCCTACCCGTCAGCTCCAGAAAACATGATGGAATGTTTGGCTGTTCAAGCCTTTGTAGATAGACTTCGTGACCATGAAATGCAAAGACCACTTGGTTTAGCCCGTCACAAAACATTGGTCGATGTCTTGTCCGCTGCTCTTGAATATGAAGCGGCTACGCTGGCTTCTGGTGGATACAGTGAAGGACTGTAAAAGAAGAAGAACAGGGAAATAAATTGGACCAATTGTTTCATATAATAAAAAGCCTTATTGAGAAGCAACCGAAGACTATTAGGTGTTGGAATTGTGGTGAAATGGGAAAAGTAAGCAGTTTGCGCAAACGTCCAAAGAACACTACGAATCGAAAAACCGTGCAGGTGGCTGCACAGGAAGAAACGGTATTACCTGAAAGTAGTGAAACCAAACGAGTAAGGCGGTTGCAAGGAACTGTAAAGAAGGCAACGCCTGTCATGGCGGAACCTTCGAAGCGCAATAAAGGTGTTGGTCAAGGAACTCTGATTGGAAAGGGGTTGGCCACATCTGTTAAAGAAGTTACAATACGAAGAACGTCGGTTGTCAGCGATGAGTGGACCCCTGTCAAACTTAGGGAAGAACAAGAGAATGATCCCGTTTTAAAGAAGCTACGAGGCTGGAAAGAGGAAAATCGTCGACCTACTTGGCAAGAAGTATCGAAATTCTCTCCAGTAGTTAAATTATATTGGGCTCAGTGGGACTCCTTTATCCTGGAAGATAGCTTATTAAAGCGAGTACTAAAAAATGATGATGGTTCCGAGAACAGAAGACAGTTGGTCATTCCAAGAAGTAGGGTAGCTGAAGTACTCCATCAGTTACACGACAGTCCATCAGGAGGACATCTCGGTGTTAGGAAAACCCTTCAGAGAGTTCGGGAAAGGTTTTACTGGATGAATAGTTCCGATAATGTAAAGGACTGGTGTAAGAAATATACCACCTGTGCTATGAGTAATGGACCTCAACGAAAAAGGAAGGCTCCCATGAAGCAATACAATGTTGGTAGCCCATTTGAGAGGATCGCCTTAGATATTGCTGGACCATTCCCCGCGACCGAGGATGGTAATAAATACATTTTGGTGGTTATGGATTATTTTACAAAGTGGGTGGAAGTCTATGCCATTCCAAATCAAGAGGCCGCAACTGTTGCAGATGTATTGATAAAAGAGTTTATCTGTTGATTTTGAGTGCCCTTGGAGATCCACAGTGACCAAGGCAGAAATTTTGAAAGTCAACTTTTCCGTGGAATCTGTGACAGACTGGGCATGAAGAAAACCAGAACCACAGCATTGCACCCACAATCCGATGGAATGGTAGAGCGAATGAATAAGACCATTGGCAAATACCTGTCAAAAGTGGTTTCAAACCATCAGCGAGATTAACATCAGTATCTTTCGCTCTTTGCAATGGCTTATAGATCCGCTGTCAATCAATCACTAGGCCAAACACCAGCAAAGGTCTTATTTGGGCGTCAGATGAGACTACCGTGCGACCTCGAGTTTGGATGCCAACCTGGAGAAGATGTAGCTGGTGAAGATTATGTGATCCAGTTACGAAGAAGAATGGACGACATGCATGAATTAGTTCGCTCGCATCTCCAGATCGCCAGTGACAGAATGAAGAAGCGATACGATACCCAAGCAACGAAAGTGGTTAAATTCTACAATTTCACCAGTAAAAACATCAACAAATTAATATTTTACACCTACTAAATAAATAAACAATTCTCAAATAGTTCGACTGCTTTTTACCCTAATATAATGTGAAGTCATAAAACTATAAATAGCATTTTTCTCAGAATACCGAACGTCGAACACCTGTGTTTTTAAGTGCACAGCTGAGCATTGGAACAAAATGAGTGTCCGGCGCATAGTTAACGAAGCACAAATGACGTATTTCATTATGTCATGATGTTTTCATTGGTTGAAACCGAATAGGTGCGTGAACTATGCCCCGGACACTCATTTCGTCCCAACAGTATATATTAAGGTGCGCTCGACGCGAGCAGTTCAGTTGTATGTTTGCCATCATTCAGTAGTTGTCTTAGTGCCACCAAAGTTCAGTTGTATGTTTGCCATCATTCAGTAGTTGTCTTAGTGCCACCAAAGTTCAGTTGTATGTTTGCCATCATTCAGTAGTTGTCTTAGTGCCACAAACGAGTTCAGTTGTTTTTTTGCCATCATCGCTCACAGTTGTCTTTGCCAGGTGCTTCTGCCGACGGCACGTTATTTTCTACATTTTACAAGCATTTAATGCATTTTATTTTCTGGTGAAAGTTATATCTTCTACAATTATTATGGCATAAGAAATTCTACAAACAAATGTTTTCAAGTTGGTAACTAAAAAATCAACTGTATTAGTTAATAAAATTGTGATGAACTAAAATTGTAAATATTTAAAACTGTTTAGTGAAGATAAGAAAATTATTATATCTAAATGGAATCAACCACTATGTATTTACTTCAGTGAAAATAGTGAATTAAAAACACTTCTTTTTCTACTACCTATGACTCGTTAGTTATTTCTACAAAAGAACCCAATTCTTCTAACACCAGCGACATATGCTACAGAACATTTTTACCAAAGAAATATTCGGAAGTAACTCCGGTATTTTTTCAGAAAGGATGTTTCAAAGAAGGCCACAATGTCTGGCTTCATAACCCAAAAAGACAAAAGGTTTATTCTCCGAAGCTTCAAAGGTCTTGGGAAGGTCCGTACCTCATCAAGAATAAAATAAATGATGTAATTTACCGTATAAGCAAGATCCCAAACGGTAAACCGAAGGTAGTGCATCAAAACAGGCTAATGCCATTTGAGGGTGACCACGAAGAAGAAGTAAAACAACTTCAAAAAACACCAGACCTTGTCTTTGAAGAGTTTATGGGTGCATATGGAGGTACTGGAAAAGCTAGATATGATGTTACGACCGAGCAACAACAAGATCTGCTCTCGCTTCCGAAAGACTACTCGCTGGTCCATAGCACTTCCGCCAGCATCAACGACGCGCGAGGACTGGCATATGTGTTCCGTAAGAAGTTTGGTCGACTGGTAGAACTTCAATGTCAGTTACCAGCTCCTGGAAAAGCCTTGAAACTTCAAGACGGGTCACGTTATCTTTTTTATTTAATAACGAAGAACACCTTCCGAGATCGATCCACCTATCAGAATGTATGGGAAGCATTACTTAGTCTAAGGGAGGACGTACGGGAGTCCAATGTACAGAAACTAGCCATGCCGAAGATAGAAGGAAATCAGCTGAATTGGAGTCCAAATACTGGTCTGCAGCCATTCGCCCAGTTCCCAGGTTACAGCGAAGACAGTCCCTTGTTACTTCCATGCAACTGGAAATTGTAAAAGAGGGTTCAGTTGCAGATACAACCATTCCATTTCAGTTTCGTAAGAGTTCCAGGAGGAACTATCTCTTAAGGAGGGGGCAATGTTATGTGAGCCATTTCATTATTCAGTCATGCCTTAACCCTCCAAGTCCCTCTCTGTCTTATTTGGCCTTTGAGGCTCAACTTGTCCGATTATTATACATAATTAAACCCCTTAAGACCAAACCAATGTGACGACTATGGCGGAGGTACTTTCACAAACATTCCAGAGACAACGGGATACTATTTCTAGTCTATTCCAAATATATTGTGATAGGGTTTCTAATTTTTGGCGAGAACGTTCTAAATCCTTCACCATAATTTTAAATTAGCATATAAATATTGGTGGAGAAGAACGCGGTATCAGTTATTATATAGACAGTGAAGATAAATAGTGATCAGTTTAAAGACATTCGAAATATAAATAAATTAAAACAGTAGTGTTATAAAATAAATAAGTGTTTAAATAAATTATTGATAAATAAACTGTTGTTTTAAAATAAATAAACATCACAGTATTCTTCCAAACTTCTCAAAAATTCTTGAAAAAACTATTAGTAAGCAAGTGTACGAGTATATTTTTACAAATGGTATTATTGGTAATACTCAATCTGGCTTCAGAAAGGGATTTAGTACAACTACCTTTTTATTAAATGTCAGTGACCACATAATAAAATCGCTTGATGTAGGGCTGACTACAGCATTAACACAAATAGACTTTTCGAAAGTATTTGATATTCTTGACTACTACTTATTGTGCGCTAAACTAAACTATTATGGTTTTGATGATACTTCCTTGAGATTCTTTAAATTTTACTTAAGTATTCGACATCAAAAATAGGTTCTAGATAATAGTTCATCAAATTTTTCATGTGTAAACTCTGGAGTTCCATTCTTTAATACTGGTCCATAAAACTTATCCGATATACATTTTGTGTTCCCTTTGCCTTGCCCGTAATGTATTTTACGTTAAGAAGTAATAAATCCTGTCACAGTGGCCAAATTTAATGTTAGATAATAAATTATCAATGCAAAGGAAGAAAGCAAAGACGTGAATATATTTTTTATTAAAGGGAAGTAAAAGGCTCAAAGTCTGTCGACCACATAAATTTATTCGGGCCTCTCCAAAGTCTTGGACATCCTGTCAAATTGTTAAATTTATACTCTAAAAATTTGTCACAAAACTAATTTAACTTATTCAATTTAACTAATGTCAAATTTAATTATTATTATTATCTCAACCATAATTGTAACTACGTGTCTTCCATCATATGTCAGTTGTCAAATTTCGTAAATTCTCCACCATTTTCTCATTCAACTTCACCCTTGAATGACGAAGGTGCTAAGTGAAATTCCCGAAGTTAAGCAAAGTATTAATTAATGATACCCCTTAAGCCTAGGCTTAAGGGTGTACACAAACCAAACTCCGTCTACCCCATTTGTACTGGGGATAGGGGGAGCAACGGTAATTTTCGAAAAGTTACATTTTTCACATGGTGCCTTAAGCACACATGTGGAACTTCAAATTTGAGATTATCTTTTATAACCACCTTCATTAGATGGAGGCAGGCGAGGTTCAAGAGTAAACAATATCCAACCTCGAATGAGGGAGGCAGTACGTGCCAATTTGTATAATTTTTATTTTTACAATTTAAAATTTTAATTCAACATTTAATTTTTTCTGTGGACACATAGTGGTAAGACACCTAGCATTTCTATAAAAAAACGTTTTGTTATCCTAAATTATTATTGCAGATTGTACCTACCTACCTACTCACTTTCAAACATTTTTGCCTGATGATGACCTTTTAGGTCGAAAGCGCTTGCAACCCAACCGAATAAATTTATGTGGTCGACAGACTTTGAGCCTTTTACTTCCCTTTAATCAACTTCGGACCACTTTGAGATATGGATAATATTTGGAATTTATATTTTTTATTTTTGAAATACAGATCAATACAATACCAAAAGCGTAAATTGTTCTATGCTCTAACTAATAAAATAATATTTTTTTTTACATTATGAAGTTTTACATGGTGATTTCGGCACATTACTTGTTGTCCAATTTACGTTACCCTGTATAATCCAATCTGAAACTTTTAAGCCCCAGAGTTTAAGGTGTAGTGAATTTGAGTTGTACGTTTAGCAATCAACAAGACACATAAATTTTCATTTTCGTCGGTAAATCAACAAAGTGTTGTTTTCCATAAGACAAAGTTTCCCATAAATCACAATTTCCATCGGGATTTTCGAATAATACTGAATAGAATAAATCCACTGACGCAGCATCTCGATATACGATTCCGGAAAACTTCCTTTTTGGGCTGTCAATATTTCAGCCTCGTACTTTAATATACAGAACGACATTTAGTTTTTAGATGAACCTGCAGAAAATGAGAAAACAAATGTGGGAACAAACTAGAAAACGAAGAGATACTAGATATTGTATCATTTGGAAAACCATTCCAGTTTTATGCTTTTGTAGACATCGAGAAAATCAGGAATAAAAAAAATCATTTACTTATATATTTGCAGGATATATTAGGAATCTGGGAGAAATAGCAAAAGTAAAGGAAGATTCTTTAAGAGATATTCCAAGCTTTAAGAAATTTTATTAAATTGTTTCTATCAACAGGAAAGATACAGAGCAAAATTAGTTGTGTAAGTAACAAATCACGATAATTAAAAAACAACAAACTATGAAACAATAGGAGAATATTGAGAAACATATATAATAAAAGAAATAAAAACAAATTATATAGTTACTGATTATACACCATAAAGTAAGTTGTACTTCTTTAAGCAGTTCATACAAATTTAAATAAACTAGAACATTTAAAATGCATTCAGCGATTGATTTGGCGTCGTGTACAAAAGGAGAATTTTCTATTTCTTTCCTAACTTCTTCGTGATAAACATCTAACATACACTCAAGAAGTTCATTTTGGGTTATTTTTGAGGTACCTTTGAAAGCTTTTGAACTTTGAATATGAACCTTTAAGTCGTTGTCTAATTCGGCGCTAAAATTCACCAGCTCCTTAAATATGCCTCTATTTTCTAAATTATCTTTCTCATCGTGACCCCTTAAAGCTAATTCAAAGGCTCCACAAAACCTTATACAATTTATAATTTTATTTAAAACATATAGATTCTTATCAACTTGTTGATTATGTTTAATTAGAGCATCGCGATAAGCCGAATTTAACTGGGTTTTTATATTTAACTTACCAAGCATGGAAAAGCTAAAAACATTATTCATGTGCACTTTGGATTTTTCATGGGATTTCATTTTATCCAATATATAGACAAGATCGTCTGTGCCTTTTTTTGACCAAGTCTCATCATCTCCAAACAAAACACATACAAAACAAAACAGTTTATTACTTTCTTCGCAACCACACAACCAAGTATTTTTATCATAAATAGTTTTATTAAATTTACGACACCGCGATTTTTGCCCACTTCCACTTTGTTTTTCAATTTTTAAATCGGGAATTATCCGGCCTAATTCTTTAATTTGTAGTTTTTTTTTTGCGAAAAACCACTAAAAGGGTTTTTTAAGACGCCAATTTTATTTATTGTCACAATAAATTAAAAACTAGGAAATAAGATATTTAAACAAGTTTACCGAAAACAAAAATCTGATGTGTCCAACACATAACTTTCCTATCTAGTTATTACAGGCTTTTTCCGGTTATTTTGTACAACCTATTGCAGCACCTCTATAAATGTTTAGAGGAGGATAAACTAAATATATACATTTTCCACATACATCTACCTCGAAACATTTTTCTATCGATATTCATTGAAAACGAAAATGCTGAAAAATTTAAATTTAGCACTTTTCCTACAATTTTTCCATTACGGTCCATTTTAAAAAAATCATGTACAGTTCATCAAATTTCTAGAGGCTTTCGACGGCTAGACAGAGAAAGCACTACTGACAGGCATTCCGACGGATTTACGCAATGAAAGTACACTCTGCGCATCAAGTATTTCACTATTTCATTCAGACGTAAATGTCAGATGTAAATTTCGCTAAAACATTTCTTTTATTTTCGTTTGTGTTTTTTGCTCATTACAGTTTAATAGAACCTAAGTATGGAGTTTAATAGCAAATTAAGAGGCCGCGTGATTAACAGTCAATCTCGCGAAATAATAGCCAATGTTAGAGTTTATGAGAAGAGAAGGAAACTTTAATTCACCTTCAATACCATTTAAAAATGTAAATGATCGTGTTGCTGCAGCCACAGGAGTATCTAAAAACACTGTCGTCCGCATTTCTGGAGAGAAAAAAAGAATCGATAACCGTGAGATATCGGAATTTTCATCACCAAGAAAAACCATTAAAAAACCAAAAACAGTTAATGATATAGATGAAGTTGCACAAGAATCAAATTTTATTTTTTTATTATTAGATAGCTATTTTTGTTTCTGAGTTGTGTTCATTTACAGGCTCAATTTTTTTCCGTTTCTCCTTTTTGATTTTATATGGGGTTTCAAGTTGTTTTTGACTTATTTCGACGTAAATCACAACAACACACTTTTTTAATAAAGCAAACAAGTGTTAAGAGGTATATGTACGTGTAAACTACAATTACAAAAAATTGATATGAAACCCATGAAACCACCAACAAAAATGTAAAGCTAGCTTCCGTACTAGAATGTTGTATGGTACAACTACTGATGATTGTGTATTTCCCGATCTGCGCCTCTCTTCCTTTCTCCACAGAATACTTATATATCCCAGAATAATAACGATAAATCTCGCGTTATTAGCGATGACTTTTACTGGTTCAAAATAAGTACATAGTTATAAAAAGAAAGACAAAATTCAGAATTTTATTATAATTTTAACTCTATTACAATAATAATTAGAAAATACGATTTAATTATTACCTATAACATACGATTAGAAAAAATATTAAAAATTGTGAGTTGTATCTGTTATAAAAAAGTTTTCATTTTAATTTGATTTTTTAATCACACTCTACAAACAATCGGAGAAAAAATTATGTTTCGCACGGCAAAGAATTAGATTCACTGTCTTGACTAGTTTAATTCAATGAAATGCTAGCAGCGGCAATAAATCTGCTACTTCTCTGCCTATATTTGAACAAATAACTATTTATGATTAGAACATTTTTTGTATAATAATTATTATATTCGTATGTTATAAACATTACTACGATTCATTAAGTACGGGCCTGAGCAGTCATGATCACAATTAGCAACGGATGTCTCATTTGTACTTTTGAGCTCGAACAGCTCAAAAGTTGAAGAAACACGTTTTTCGATTTCTTTCGTTCACGATATCCCATGATCCAATCAACCGATTTTGATCGGACCAGCGGCGATCGACGTGGTTTTTCAAGGGTAAGAGCTGAATAGTTTTTGGAATCGATCGGTAAAGCCGTTCGAAAGTTATTCAGAAAAAACAGTTTCCAGTTTCCAATTTTTTTTCGGGAAGTTAAAAATTTTTACTTTTTACTGTCAGATTAAAAAAATCCCTTTACAAAATTATCAGATTAAGAGTTATCACCACTAGAATATCAAGCTGAAAAATCTGTATAAAATTCTGATGCGCACGAATATTTCAATGTCACGATTTTTTTTTTGCATTTTTGAGTATCGACTATAAACTTTTGGTCACCCCCAAACCGTCAGTCTTTCTAATAGGATACTTTTTATCGTTTATTTAACCCCTCTTATGAATTTCTGACAAGCCCGAGAAAAATCATTTTTCCCCCAATTTCTAACTCTTAATACAGCTAACTCCCACTATCAATCCGTCAGACTAATATCTCTCTGTAAACAGGAGTTCGTAGACTGTATCACGGTATCAAACACTGACGCGCTTGAGTATTTTTTTGGAACGATTTTTTTTTACATTTTTGAAAATTCGTGCACGCTCTCCCCACCACTAAAAAGATATACATCATATAAACTTTTTTTCTGTTTAGCCGTTAATCTTCACGATCTGATAGGTCTTCAAAGCGCTCGGGTAAAAACGCATTTAGCCCTCTGAGCTCCCCTACTATAGTGTAAAGCCAGTGCATCATACTTGGTTTAAGCCCCCATAGGTTCCCTACCATCCGTCTACAGGCCCATAGTATTCTTAAAACTTTTTCTGTTGTTTTTTCTATATGGCTGCAGAAGCTAAGCGTGATTTCAAGATATTTAACCTCTTTTGCCATTTTTAGATGTTGTCCCAACATATAAAGCTCCTTTATTCCTTGAAGGTTCCTTTTTCCTGTGAATGCAACAACAGAGGTTTTTGTCGGGTTTGTGGATAATCCCTCTTTTATGCACCATCTTTAGACGATATTTAGTGCCCGCTGCATCCTTTCGGATACAACAGATCCAAATTTACCGTTTACTACGATGCTTATGTCGTCTGCAAATGCTCCCATAAGAGGTCTTAAACCATCAAGGTCCACATAAGAGGAGATAACATTCCTCCCTGCGGACATCCTTTGTTAACTGAGACCTCTCTTGTTGTGTTAAGGAAATTACTGGTAATGGTTCTATGTGGGCTACTTCACGCCTTTGCATAGATCCCAGTATTGAATTGTATGAAGCCGAGTTAAAGGCTCCTTCCATTATTACCCGTGATGCGGTACGAGTAATACGTTTTAAATGTGCTCTTCGCAAAAGTGTTGATTTCAATGGTAAAAACAATCTGTACATTTTTAAAAGTTAACTAGTGTTGTTGCTTAGGACAAACTGCATCCTGGAGTTAGAGTAATTTTTCTTTGTGAGTAGAATATAATACGTATTGATATATATTTAAATTCAACCATATCTGTGACTATCGTCCCCGAACATCGTTCTCCATATTTCAATAAATCGATAAATTTCTACACTGTTAAAAATGTCGAAAACCAGGCAGCAACTACAAGAAATGGAAGAATTAATTGTGAAAGTCTGCAAACAGCAAACAGACATGATCCGAAACAGTTTAAATGACTGTTTTTCTAAATTTGAAGAGTCCTTGAATTCCATAAAAGAAAATGTTTCCGAAAACTTGGAGAAAATAAATAACCTGGAAAATAATATGGAAAATTATGAACAAAGATTTAAATTAAATAATTTGTTACTGTATGGTGTCAAAGAAGTTAAACAAGAAAAATCTCACCAACTTGAAAAAAATATTATTAATGTGTTTACCGAAAATCTAAAATTAACATGTGTTTCTGCATCTGATTTCGACCAATTTCATCGCATTGGTAAATATAGTGAGCATAACTTAAATCCCAGGCCTATTTTAGTTCGATTTGTGTCAAACAAGATGAAAAATGTCGTTTTTTCTTGCAAAAAACATCTCAAGAATAGTGGTTTGACAATTAAAGAAGATTTGACGAAGTCAAACGTAATTTTGATAAAATCTGCAGTTTCTAAATATGGTCGGCAACATGTTTGGAGTTCCAAAGGAAGAATTTTTGCCTCGGTGGATGGGCAGAAGAAAACTATCACGAGTTCTAAAGATATAGACTAGAAATTTTCTTTTTTACAGTGTATTCGATTTAATTTGCTTATATTTACCTACCGCTTCATTTAAGTTTATTTACTGATTGTTTTTTTACTTGTTTTTTTCCTCTTTCTCTCTGCTGGTCAATTTTGATCAATTATACATACCTATATGGTAAACTCTAGATCATAGGCGTAGCTATTTGTATATTTTAGTAATTAATTAACATTAGTTCGATATGATAAAAATTTTATTTTTTATCTTGCATAATTATACAAATTTATTTCTTTGTACCAGTATTATGTACTCTAATTGCTAAAGATAACTTTTTTTTTGCGAAGAGTCACATAGTATATTTTTCCTTTTTTACTTGTATATTAGCTCATTGTTTAATTAGGTGTATTTTTCTTTTTAGCTATTTTTTTGTGTCATGAAGAATCTATCTTTTGCATATTACAACGTTAATACGTTATGTAATACTTTTTTAGATCTCAAAACGTTTATTTTGCAGAATAATTTAGATCTTATTGGAGTAAGTGAGACATGGCTGACTAAAAACATCTCGAGTATTGCTGTAAGTATTGACGGTTACAGTTTTATAAGAAAAGATAGAGGAAGTAGAGGAGGCGGGGTAGGATTTTATATAAAATCTACAATTAATTATCAAATTCTCACGGTAAAGGAACATGAATATGTGGAACAGCTATGGGTTCAAACTAAAATTAATCACTGTTTATATATTTTCGGTCTTTTTTATAAGCCACCAAAAAAAAACAACCAACAGTTTTTTGCGAATCTAGAAGAAAATCTTTCAGTAT